TTTACTTCTTGAAAAAAAATCACCAATAAAATTCTATAGTTGAGTCATATTTTATTGGTTCTGAAATATATATATATATATATATGTTAATTATTATATCTCTAATTTTGAGTAATCTAGCAATAAATGGGAAATATAACTGAATTATAAAATATACTGTTCTTGGATGTTACCAGAGGTGGTATTCAGCCAGTTCTGACAGGTTCTGGAGAACCGGTAGCGGAAATTTTGAGTAGTTCAGAGAACTGGTAAATACTACCTCTGGTTGGCCCGCCCCGATCTATTTGCTGCCTCCTGAGTCCCAGCTGATTGGAGTCCGAGCTGATCGGCTGGGTCTTCTTTTGTTGCCCTGAACAGGAGAACGAAGCTGGAAAGCAGGTTAGTGGGGTGGGGAGGGAATTTTACAGTATCCTTCCCCTGCCACGCCCACCAAGCCATGCCACACCCACCAAGCCATGCCCACAGAACCAGTAGTAAAAAAATTTGAATACCACCACTGGATATTACCTTTTATTCTTGTTCCTTGCCAAGAAATATGTGAAAAGTGAATAAATAAAAAAAACAGTGATCAGAAGAAATCTTTTTTTTTTAAGTCTTAATTTACCTTTCAAGAAAGGGAAAACTAGAAGCATCTTTTCCTAAAAATTTACTATAAAAAGGTAGGGACTCTGTCCTGAGCTCAATTCCTGATAATTTCACAGATAAGACTTTCTTACCACAGCAACAGTAGTACCTTTCCACTCTCTTCTTAAAAGATTTTTATTCCCGGTTTCCCAAGCTAACTTACAGTTTGGGATTCTCTGGCAGAACTCCCTCTAAATTCTACCGCAGCTCAGCCCTGCTTAGCTTCTGACCCCAGACATCAGCCAGGTAGAGCCATCTAGCTAAGGAACACATATGGTGAGGCAACATTCTTGATATGCCCATTTTGTAAATGTTGAAAACTGAAGCAGCAGAGGCATTTATTCTAGCATTTTGTAAAAAAATCTTTTCAGATATCAGCTGAACCATAAACTATTCCTGGTGGGACCAAATAGGAATAGTTTTAGATAGTTTTTCTTTGGAGTAACATGGTAAACTTTGTGCCATTACATCAAAGGGCGGGATTCAAAAATCCCAGCAACCGGTTCTCTGCCCGGTTGCTGGGTGGGCGTGGCCATGGTGGGTGTGGCCTACTGAACTTCCGGGAGGGCTGCTTTTCACCTTCTCCAGAATCCGGACGTTTTCCTTGGGCTCTGGGAGGGTGAAAACGGCCTCCCCCTGGCTCTGGAGGCCCTCCGGAAGCTGGGAACAGGCCTGTTTCTGGACTTCTGGAAGGGTTGGTTTTCGCCTTCCCCCAGAGTCCAGAGATTTCCCTCAGGCCTCTGGGAGGATGAAAACTGCCTCCCCGGGGCTCCAGAGGCTCTCCAGAAGCCAAAACAGGCCCATTTCCAGACTTCCAGAACTTCCAAGAGAGGCGTTTTTCACCCTACCAGAGCCTCTGCACCGGCCCTGCACTCATCTGCATCCAAAACAGGCCGCATGGAGACTCCTGGGAGGGAAGGGGTGGGTGGGGCCAGCTGGTTGGTTCAACTGCCGGTTCGGTTGAACCAGATGTAAATTTAACACCCAGTTTGCCCAAACTGGCTGAATCCCACCCCTGGTTACCTCACAACTCATAAGGTCATTCCCACAGAGAAAATATAGTGATCTATGTGTGTTCTTAACTAAAGAGCTCATCATTAAATTTCCCATTTTTTCTTGACAGAGATGTTTGTTCCTAAACAGGAATTTAATATTCAAAATACTATATCATTGTTGATATAATCAGCATCAGCAATACCTAAGACTGAAGTTTATTCTCTCCACTTATATTAACTTTGTTAGGGAACAAAGTTCTTTACAATTCTTTTTTTTTTTGTAGAAGAAAGGTTCAATACCAATAATATATAATACGATTGTTTTTACAGTGTGTTATGTTTCCAGCGCTACCAATATTCAAAAGGATTTTATTTATTTGTATCCTGCCATTATTTTATGAGCTCCAAGGCCTGGAAATGTCAGGTGTAACTGATGAGGCATTGGCAGATGTTTGGCAAAGGTAACAATGATTTAACTTGGATGACAGAAAGGAGAGTCCCTAAATTTAATAAGCCAACATCCTAGCATTCCTACCCTTAAAATTGAATGGGACCTAATAATAACATCAGGACAGGAATAAAGATGCAACTATCCCAAGCCAATGAGATAGCGTTCATCACACCTGTGTCAGGAGGATAGCATGAATTAATCACATAGGATATATTTTATTTATTTATTTATTTTAATTTATATGCTGTCCATCTAACTCCGAGAAGTGACTCGTGGACATTTGAGAGCCTGAAAAAAAAAGTGTGCGTGTGTGTGTGTATGACCAGTAGAAGTCCTAAAAACTTTTGATATGGTTTATAAGGAAATAAGCCAATTCCAGCTTACAAGAGCTCTAAAGCTGGGGCAAACTATATGGAGCTCAGACCAGCATACTTACATATCAACATATAATCATTCTAACTGCAATCTGCATTGGCATTAAAATATAGCCATGGAAGTTGATAGTTCTGGCTTGAAGCAACTGCACTGATTCATCAAATACACATAAATGCAGTTATCTCTATTCAACTTGTTCATTCTCCTTTTCCTGATTTGTACGCAAAAGAGCATGAATGTTTATAAGACTTTGAGTCTCACTACGGAAAGTTTGATAAGCCAGCATCCTAAATTTCCTGCCCACTAAGCCAGCCAGTGCCTCTTGAACAGGTGAATACAGTGTCAGTCTTCTAAAAGATAGGAAATCTAAAACAAAATAAAAATAAGCAAAATGTAAAATAAAGACAAAACTTGTATATAAAAACTTAGTTTTAACAAATGCATTAAACCGTAGCCACATGAAATAATATTTATCGATCTTTCCATTATGTTGATAAAAAGCAAGTTCACATACAGAGAGCAAACAATTTTATAACCCACGGAAGCAGTGACCTTCTGTTGTAAAAATATGCCAAGTTTATTATGCTTAGGAATTCTACTGGTTTTCCACCAATTGATTAATTCCACTTTTTGGGCACATAATTGCAAAACACATTACTTTAAAGGTATCCCATCCCCATACTACCACTGCAGCTTTTCTTTTATGCACCAGCATGATTTCTACTGCTGGACTGGTCCTCCACAGGGATAGGAAGCCATAAAAAGAACCATACTCAGTTCTCATTTATTCCCTGAAGCTCTTGAAAATGCCATGATGCAATTTGAAAAAAAATATTGTTAATGATTTCATCCACCAGTATCACTGAAAATTTAGGCAAAGAGATTATGGGTAATAATAAAGTGAGGACACCTGATTGCATTACAATCTGAGATTGTTATAATTACACTACAAATTATTGTGGCATGGTATAATTGGAAAATCAATATCCTCTCCCTATTTTTCAGAGGCTAGTTCAGAACATAATAACTTTAAGTAACTGTTCATCTAATACTACTAAATATTTGTTATTAGGAAGTTTCTTGTAAGACCTAAATGCATACATTTTGCTGTTAAACTGTATATTTTTAATTAAAAAAATGTTTATGATTGTAATGCTCTTACCATAACAATAAGACCATGTCTTAAATGCTCTAAAGGGAGAATGAGACATATGCAAAGAAATTAAGTATATCCAAATTTCACTGGTTTGTTCCAAATTAAGCTTTCAGTTCAACGGGGCAAAGAAACAACAGAACAGTGATTATAAAATTTTCAGCATAAACAGCATAAACACATGCATAGTTTCAGTGGGAACTGGTTATTGATATTAATTAAGATGTTCATTAAGAAATTATATTTCTATCGAAGCAAAATATACCATTAAAACCTGAAATATCTCCAGATATCCATTTCTGATTCATTATATATTTGTGTCCTTTTTCATTTCTCTTTTTAAATAATATTTCCTGAATCAAGTGTTGGATATATCCAGGACAGATAGCTTGGAACTCTTGAAGTCCATTGATCTAGATGCAGCTGGGTATATCTCTAAAATTCCACCGAATTGTGAATGTAATTTTTAAAAATGTATTACAAAAAGGAATTACTTAATCCAGGGGTCTTCAAACTTGACAGCTTTTAGACTTGTGGACTTCAACTCCCAGAATTCCTCATCCAGTAATGTTAGCTCAGGAATTCTGGGAGTTGAAGTCCACAAGTCTTAAACTTGCCAAGTTTGAAGACCCTTGACTTAATCTATGGCTGCTGTTGTCACTGCTATCTCCACCCAGAAAATGGTTTTTCTTTTACTCTGGTTTACCATTTGGGAGGCAAGAGTCAAAAAGATAGGTTTGTTGTTGTCTAATTTAGATATCTTTGGAAGAACAGCTTATTGAGTGACTGCAAATCCTGTCTTTTTTTTAAATAAGCAAAGCAGGACAGAAAAAGAAAAAAGAAAAAGAAAAAAGAAAACAACATAATAAAAATGTATGTGTAAAGGCCTCTTACAGATATATGTAAAATTTTACACAATGTGTTCAGTAATGGGTGACCATATTTTATTATAATCATTCATAGCTGATCTATGTGTATAAACAATTTGTAATTGTTAATGAATAGAACAATTTCAACAAATAAGTGACTTAACGGCTGGCTATTAAATAATTTAATTCTAATTTAATATCCCAATCTTAAGGCTGTCTGTCTACCCAAATAACTTTGGGTAGTTTAAAAGGAAATAAAATGAAATAAAATAATCAAGGAAAAAAGATAAGACTAACCAGAAAACCAATCCATAACAGTAAAAAAAAAAAAAAAAAAGACCAGCCATCCTACCCCAAGAATGATAAGTTTTCCAGCAAAATTCAAATTAAATAATGCAATGCTTATTAATATGCTATAGAAAAATAATACTTTACTATACATAAAGAGTTACATCTCTGCATACACATTTGAGAGAAGAACTACGTATGAGATCTCTTCTATATTATCAAACAAAAAGGGAAGAAAATCTTACTTTTTCATCATCATCAGTAAAAGGAATACCTCCAGGACTTTTATTTATCACTTGTGCAACTCCAATGATTTCACCCTCGCTGTTTCTTATAGGCATGCAGAGCAATGACTTCGTCTTGTATCCTGTCAGTTTGTCAATCTTGTCATTAAAGCGTTGGTCCTGAAAAAATGGAGAAGGAAAATATTAAGATTAAAACTTATATGCATTTAAAATGTTCTTTTCTACATTCAATATATTAAATCACTTTTGTCAAGAATTCTTTAGACTGATAGTAATTTAGAAGATAGACGATAGGTTTTTGCATGTCGTTTTATGTTGTATACATTTAATTGATATACATTTTGCAATATTTCTATTTGCTTCTTTTGCTTGACATGTACAATAGGAGTACTTTTTCTGCTTTTTCATTCATTTTTGGTTGTTTTAATGGACCTGAATTTAACACACCTTTTAAAATAATATTTTAATCAGTTTCTTTAGACTCCCCATTACGATCTGTTATCCACACTGATATCTATAATCACTGTACAATTCTGTTCCATCCAATACTGGAAATCAATTATAATATCTAAGACTCGTAACTGAAAGATATAACAATAACTGATATTCTTTAAACACGTTAAATGAGATGAATTGACATAAAGCTGCCATCCTATTTGTTTACTGTCACACCTCCCATCATATTTTCCTCACTTGAGAATATGAAAAGTTTACAGGTAGTCCTTGACTTACAATCAATCACTCAGCTGCCAAGACTGTGCATGAATTTTGGTCATATGACCATAGATTTGCTACATCAAGTTGTAACTCTGGGCACAGGTCATAAGTATCTTCATTCAGTGCCATCGTAACTTTGAACGGTCACTGAATAAATAGTCATAATCCAAGGACTACCTCTAAGTCACAGATATTTACACACAGTGAGAAATTAGATATCGACAGGACTGAAGCTGGTAAAGCAAGACCCAATAATTCCAGGATAAAGACAACTATTTCATAAGCATATCACAATTACTTCTCAACATATCCTGCTAGGAATCTGTTAATTCAGAAGGAAGGAGGAAGAATTCAACCCTAAAACTAAATAAATGTCCGACTTCTGTGCACTACAGTGGATACTCAATGGTTGTATTTGAAGTTCCATCATTGCATGCAATAACATTTCTAATCTTGTTGATTCTTGTCTGGAAGTCTTTTGCTAAGACTAGCTGAGGAGCGAATTAAGGGTTAAGTTTCTGGCAATCTGTGATTTACTGCCTAAATCTGGGTGTGACTGTTGAGAGCTTGAGTTGGGATTAGGGTTTGTATTTGTTTGAATTAAAGTAGACCTGGTTGGTTACCTTTAAACTACTCTTCCCTTGAGGTTTAATCTCGATCTTTTGTTTACATTTCTTCTATAGATCGCTAACCCTTTCCTTAAAATCTAGCCAGGGGTGGGCTGCTGAGGGTTCGCAGGGGTTCAGGAGAGCCCCTAGCTAAGATTCTGTGCAGTTCGGAGAACCCCCAAATCTCACTACTGGCTGGCCCAGCCCATCCCACCCCTCCCAGGAGTCCCCATGTGGGCCATTTTGGATGCAGGTAAGTGCAGGATGCGCGTGGAGACTCAGGGAGGGTGAAAAACGGGCCTCCTGGAAGTTTGGGTAGGCCGGAAATGGGCCCGTTTCTGGCTTCCAGAGAGCCTCCCCCGCCGTGGTGCAGGAGGCCAACTAGGCTATGCCCACCATGGCCACGCCCACCCAGAAACTGGGAAGAGAATCCTTTGCTAAAATTTTTGAAGCCCACCCCTGAATCTAGCTATTACAATTCTAGTTAAGGGGAGATTAAAAACAGCGCTGCCAGGAAATATAGGAAAAAGCAAGAACTTCTGAATAATCCCTGGTTGTCCCATTTGGTGTGGCAGGCCCACTATTAAAAAGACCCATACAGTAGAAGTAATGAATGTGAAATTAAAAAGAAACTAACCAAGTAGAGCAAATTATAACTGATAAACTGTTATTGAGCATGGCTGATATAAAGGTAGCCAGCAAAAGATGGAAAAATAAGTTCCAAAGAAAATAACTAGAGTTAATGCAATCATTTTGAATGCATTTGTTCATAATGGTGTCATTTTATAAAACAGAATTCTTCAAGACACATACAGAATACAAAATAAAATAATAAAAGGAATTGACTCCAATATAAAAGGAAGTGCTAGCATTAAAGTCAATAACAAAAGAGAGCTAAAACAGGTCTCTAAAAATGAAAAACAACCAATTACTATCATTAAAAATTAATAAGTTAATTAATATGGTCTTTAATGTGTGTCTTGGTCTAGAACTGAAAGGAGCAAGTACCAGATCAACCGTTCTCAAAAGAGCTTCTATAAACAATAAATACCTATCCATTGTAGTTATTTTCCAAGCTGCAGATTGAGGGACAACTGCTAGTAACCTTAAAGCAGAAGTAGTTATGAGGCAAAAAGGTGTTCCTCTAAGGTAAGGTCCCATGTAGAACATTATAGATCAAAATTAAGATTTTATTACAGGCCTCGAAAAGAAATGAAAAAGGACCTAAGACTACTATGCAAACTCACTGCCATATTGTGCATCAATTATAATTTGCAAATTACATAGCCTATCCCAAAGGTTCTTTTTCCAAAGGCAACTGGACTTTCTTTGTTTTTCCTTGAAGTTGTTTTGCTTCTCATCCAATAAGCTTCTTCGGTTCATGAACTGAAGTCCAGTTGCCTTTGGAAAAATCATCTTTGGGACAACCGTGACCTGGATGACTGAGAATCTCCATAGATATACAATATATAATAAATGTATGTTGGAAGTTGTCAAAATCTAAACCACTCCAAAGCTAAGGATTCTAATTTGGTATCAGTAAAGAAGGCTCTTAAGAACCGAACAAACCTGAGTATCTGTTTTACAACAAAAACAACAATCTTATGCTAAAAATGAAAACCTTACCATTAGGTTACCTGAGGGCATGTCCTTACATCTCAAATACTGTCAATAAAGGTTATGTTTTTTTAATTAAGTAATGCGTATTTGCAACAGAACTTGCACTCGAAAATAATTTAAGCATTCTTAATTACTATGCATTAGTGTTGGAGAAGTAACAAATTGCCATAAAGATTTACGAGGTCTCTCCAAGAAAAGTTTCTGTTCCTCTTATTGTTGCCTAAACTCATTCTCAATGCTTTTGAATAACTGGAATGCCCATCTGTTTCCTTGAATTTGAACTTTAAAGTACAAGTTTAGAAAGAATATTCAGCAACATATTTGGTCCATAAATTGGTTAGAATAGATTCTAAAATAGATTTAATGGACTGTCTCCCGAGAAGAAAAAAGCGGAATGATTATCAATTTAATTAAAATAAGTGATTTCAATGGAGAGACCTAGGTTCAACACCAGTCTTAACAATCAGATTCAGATTAACAGAGTTGGAAGGGACCTTATATGTCATCTAGTCCAACCCCCTGCCCAAGCAGGAGACCCTACACCATTTCTTTTTACGGGTGTATGTCAAACATCAGTTTTTCCACAATCCTTGGAATCAGGAGTTCGATTTTCCTGCATCGAACAGACACCGGAATCGAAGTTCACAGTGACTATGTCTCAACTCAATCTACCTTAATACAAGCGAATGACTGAAGTAGTGGTTTGCTAACGTTAATTCCTAGAGGAATGGTGGGATGTTTACCAAATGAATAAATAAATGCACAAATAAATAACAAAGTAGTGCTACAGATAACCTATACACACATACAAAATGATTTTAAGTAAATGTTATTTTCTTGTGAGAGACTATGGGAAGGAGGAATTCAGATTATGTGAGAAAAAAACAACAGAGCCCAGATATAGGAAATATAGGAAAATGTGTTACAAAGAGATTCTACCTTAACTGACTCACTATAAATAAGGCTGGAAATTTACTGTTTTCAAGATTATGTTTCTAGCCCTGACTATCAATAAGAATAACTTTCGGAAATCCCTGTGGTTTTCACTCTATATTGGCAAGTTATGTAAGGCATCATTAAGAAGCCCTATTTTGTTCCCCAGGTTTCTGTGCAAATCTAAACAAAAAGACATGAATGCTTGGATGCATAGCTTTTGAGTCAGGATCTTAAAGCAGCCACATCTTTTTTTTCAGGCACACATAGAGGACTGGGGGTGGGTGGGTTGGAATTGGACTGATTTAACAAATAGCTCATGCAAGATCAGACTCAAGTTTTTTTTTTCAAATAATAGCAATAGCACTTAAACTTATATAGCGTTTCTCAGTGCTTTTACAGCCCCCTCTAAGAGTCAGCATATTGCCCCCAACAATCTGGATCCTCATTTTACCCACCTCGGAAGGATGGAAGGCTGAGTCAACCTTGAGCCTGGTGAGATTTGAACTGCCAAATTGCAGTCAGCAGATGTAGCCTGCAGTACTGCATTCTAACCACTATGCCACCATGGCTCATAATAATGATGATTGAGGAGCGATCAGCTATAAAATCCAATTCTCACATAGGCACAAGCAAACAGCATCTGTTCCTGAAACAGAGCCTAGCAAAAGCTGCATGCATCACTTGCCCCCAAATGAATGGATTCTAGTCTGTTACACTGCATGAGTAGAAAAAAAAGGTGAACCTTTGTATTCTGTAAGTAGAACTTACATTTGATAGACAACAGTAAATGGCATTCTTTCATAAAGACCCTACAATATATCTTTTGTGTCCTTGGAAATCTCGGCAGTCTTTTTACGAGCGGATCAACAGAAGCCTGACAATGGTCCTAATTATACTATTTACCTTATTATCTACAGTATACATTCTTTTATTCATGCCAATATTACAACATACTATTGTCTACTGAAACATTCTGCATATAGGTAGTCCTTGCTTAGCAATTAATTGCCTTTGCACTGTAACCCTTCACAGTTACAACAGTGATGAAAAATTCACTTTTATAACCAGTCCTTGCATTTATTACCTTCACAGGTCTGTAAAGCAAAGGTCATAAACAGTCGCAGTTTCACTTAGTGACTATCATGCTTAACCAACAAATTGCCCATCTTAGTTATGATCAATAAACAAGGACTACTTGCTATGCTTAAAACCAGTGAAAGATCTTTTAGCAGCAAGCCTTTCAGCATGTCTACCAATCACTCTTTTGTAATTGGAGAA